ATATTTATATTAAAACATAATAATATATTATAAAAACTTGTATATCTTGAGCTCTATTATACAGGGTCTAAAAATAAGCGCTAAATATTTCATGGGCAGGTAGAGCGGACTAAAACTGAATCGAAAAATCCTCTATCATTTTGTAAATTTCCTTAATAGTTAACGAGATATTACTCCTTAAAAATAGCCTTAAAAATAGCGAATATTACTGCGAAGTGGGGAACGGAGATAGTCTAGCAAGCGCGCTGTCCGAGCTATGGAGGCTTGCCAGTCAATTCTCAAGGCCTGCGCACCAAGCGATCGGTAGGCATATACATTTCTCAGTAGTAGGACAGGCGATTGCGCATATTCGGCTATCTTCAAGGATTAATATCTCATTAATTATTGGGAAATTTATAAAATAGTAGAGGACTTTTCGACTCAGTTTAGTCCCTTCTATCTTCCATGAAATATTTGACAATTATTTCCAGATACCCTGTATATATAGTAGGAGTTCTAAAGAGTCTAAAGAGTCTGCATAAAGAGTCTGGTTCTTTTTCGACTCGTGTTCCGCAGAAACACAGCCATTTAGCAGCCGGAAACTGATATATTTGGTGTAGTAAAAAGAAATCCATTATTTTTGCATGAAATTGAATGGAAAAATAATGGATTTCTTTTTACTACACCTAATATATAAATACTGTCGAAATTACTGAAATATATATATATGAATAAATATTCTTTTCCTTTCTTTAAAAGCAAGGTCATCATACTTGAAGGTCTTTCAAAAATCGAAAAAAAATTGATACGCATTTAGAAAAAGGTCATCATAATTTTGAACAGTGAAAGAACAGTGAAACAGATCGAAGATTTTTTTTGAAAGAAATTTTCCATCTGTCGAAAATTTAGTAGAAAAAAAAAAACTGGAATAATCCATCGAAAACCGAAGAAGTGTTAGTTCTGTGATATATCCGCTACATTTTAGATTATTATTATTATAAAATTATAAAATATTATTATTAGTAAAATTTTTTTAAATTCCACGCTTTTGAATCAAAGTAGAACCATGAGTTCAATGCTGAACTTAATCATCGATTGAAGTAAAGTCAGCATTTCAATGCTGAGTTTAATGTTTCATACAGATTGAAATTTTAAGTGAAAATATAAAAAGTACAAACTCTAAAGTTATTAAAGAAATTTTTTTTTAATTTGGCTAGGTACAGCATGACGCACATAAATGTAAACAAAATTGTAAACAACATTATATAAATATTACTGTGAACTATAAACACTAAAAGAGATTGCATAAGAATGGCATAAACAGAATGGCGCAATACAATAATTATATAAGACATTACCAAGTACAAGGTACAAAATAATATTTAAAGAAATTACAAAACAACAATATAATTAGTTAAATCAGATGAAGTTTGTTTTTATTTAATGTCGGCACTATAAAATAGCACTATAACGTAGAATATAAATTTTTTTTTAAATATTACATTTATATTAAATATTATATTAAATATTAATTTTTAATATTTTTTTCATTTTTATTTTTTTTCATTTCTTTTTTAATTTTTCAGCTTCCAAGAGTGATTAAGAAAATCAATTCAGCTGTACATTAATGCGTGATAACATCGAATTAAACAAGAAATATCGAAGATTTAAAAAAAAAATTACAATTAGAAAAAGAAAAGTTTGAATGTTAGAAAAATATTTGTTGTAATTCATTATTTCTAAAAAACGGTAAAGCGTTACTTTTTAGAATCGATGATTATGAGTTATTATTTACTTCAAATAACGATAACGCATTACTTTTAAAAACTTTCCTGCAACTTCTTGTTCAGAGAAATTGATCGCTCAGTTACGGAATTGGTAGAGGAGATGATTCGTACAAATCACCATAATTATTTTTTATATTTAAATCAAAAAGTAAAATCGGGTATTTCTGTTATACTTCGAATTATTCTTCTTCAAGTGCCTCTCTTTCATATACATCTCTTCGTTGATTATACACAAGGTATATGAGGATCTATAATTTAAACGTCGATTTCCGAACCATTTTTGGTAGACAGGATTTTTCTGGGCAAGTATACTCGATGGTTTGCCATTGTTTTCCGAGAATCTATTATGTTACGCTCATGCTCGATGTTAACGCTTCGAGTGATTAACGAAACTTTTTATTTTATTACTAGATTATAATTTATTTCGGAAAATGATGTCATTATTGTTTAAAACTTTTTAAAATCCTACGCTTTTGAATCGAAATAGAATTATCACTTCAATATTAATTTTAATCACATTGAAATTGTATGACTGATCGAAAAGGAAAATGAATAGTCCAATGAATCAAGAGCATAAAATACAAATAAAGAGTACACATTCTTTCAGAATTTTTTTTAACTCGGGTAAATACAGCAGTGTAAAACATTACAAAGTGTGAACTGTAAATATCAAGAGATTGTATAAGAATGGCATAAACGAAATACTTTTTTATTTTCATAAATGTGCATGATATGATTACAATCATACATAAAATCCTACAAAATGCGAAGTACAAAATAATATTAATAGAGATTACATAACGATATCACAATTAGTTAAATCAGATGAAGTTATAGTATTCATATCAATCTATATCAAGTTTTTTAAAATTACCCTCTATACCAAACCAATCATTTGCTGCTTTGCTCTTGCCGATTCTTAATGCTTCATTAACGCGTCTGGTTGATTCATCCAGCAGAAACCACTCGCGATAATCTTCAAATTCCTTCACTTGAATTTCAGCTAGCTTGTGCATAGAACCTGCTTTTCCGCCTATTTCGTTTGGCAACGCATCCACTGGGATATACTCAGAAATGCTCTCTAATGATAAGTGAAAATGTATCTAGAAGAGTTAAATAAATTCAAAAAAATTTGTCTAAATAGAATACAGCATTGAGTATAATTTTTCCATTTAAAATTATGTTATAATAGACGCAAAAATTTCTGTTTCAATGATGATAAAAAATCATATTTTATATAAGACATAATTTATCATCTATAAAAAAGAGTATGACTACATATATTTATTATAATTATGAATTATTTGATCGCTCTTATATCGCGTTTGTTGCAAATGATTGAGTTTCTTAAAAACGTGAATATTGTTGCTAAGTATATTGTTGCTATAGTTGAACTTAATTAATTGATTTGTGATACTTACTATATCTATCAACTTGTTTTTCATGAAAGGTTTTGCAATGTTCATGCATAATTCCAAGGCGGGTGTTACGTTTAGAATATGGATTGCTTTTAAACGTATCGGCATTGCCTCTTGGAGATAATATAGCTGCTTCTTCATTTCCAATGGATTTAATCGCATAACATGACCGAAAGATGATTTGCTAACTTCAACAATGAAAATATAACCATCATTCGTACCATTCAGGAAATGTATGTCGGATAACATTAAGCCATATTTGACGACGTTATTATGGTTATATAAGGAAGAATCGCTGTCCAGAAATGTTGAAAATATCATCGTATAACCATCCTTTGTTAATCCATTCAGAGGAAAAACAGCCCTTTTTAAATCAAATTAATTTTAAATCAAGTTAGTATAATAAGTATTAAAATATTAGTAAAAATATTCTAGGTGTTTTCAAAAAGTATATATCTGTATATATCTGTACAGCTTATAGGATTTATTTTATTTTCTGCATGAATCTTAAATTATATATTGATGTGATTAAAATTGTAAATATTATAAATTGGCCATTTTATATATACGAACAAATCATATTACTGCTATTTGTTCATTAATATTTATAAAATTGTTTACGCAAGTTTGAAGATTTGTTGCAGTCCCTTTTCTTCAAGCGGATCCCGATTGCAAAAAATTTCTGGTAAATGTGTCCTGATCGTATAATAATTCTCGATTACGTTTTTTGTTGGTTCTATTTGATAATAATTGCTGTGAAGGAACAAAGCGAGAAAGTTGTCCTCAATTTTTGGCAAGTGCGGTTGTTTCTTGCACCACTCTCTCAATGATTGTATATCAGATAGTTTCAATTGAGGATTCTTCTTCATTTCTTCTTCCAATGTGACTATTTTTATTATAGACATTGAAACTCGAATTTAATACGTACGATTATCTTCTTAAGAACACTTCCTTTCCTTTACAATATTCTTTCCAAGAGAGTTTTTACTGAGATATTTTCAAAGCTAATACTGAACAATCCAAAGACTTGTACTAATATGGTCACCATTCACTAGTAATAATTTATATTGATTATAAATTCTAATAAAATCAGTGCCTCGAGTAGTTTTAGTTAGATTTTAAATGCTTATTTAATTCTATGAATTTATATTATATCTACGTATCCTTTAAACAACGCGTTGAAATGATATTTCGATCTTGAAACACAAACTCTACTAAACTATCGCAGTAATATCACGAATGAAATTGATTAGCAATTTAACAATTTGATGCTTCTACGTAGTATAAATTCACACAGAATTAGGTAAGCACTGAAGATTCAGCTACGATTGTTAAAAAGCATTCTTCTTGTTGTATTCTTATATATTCTCACGATTAAACAAAATTCAATATTTAATATTATAAAGTCTAATTGTAGAGTGACTTGCAGAAAAGTATGCGTCCCAACAAACACAAATGTACACAGAAACACAATTAACTGACAGAAATGTTAGTTAATTTTTTTTTCTCAACAATTTAACTATTACACAATATATATATGTCTACGTATATGACATTGAGTACGATCAGCAGAAAAAAATTCATCAGTGGATTCTTTAATACGATTCTTTAATACGAATTCATCAGTGGATTCTTACACCAGTTCCAACACACTATTGGTTTTAGATCCAGCGAAGAATTGAGCACTAACTGATCATGTTTGTCTTTGCTAAACGCAATCATTATAGTTAAACTATTGTGTGAGAAAATATGATTAAGTCCGCAAACACAATAGAATACTTAAGCCTTAAGCCTTAAAAAATTGATCACAGTTGAATGTAAGAATAATCGACTGCGTTTGATCAATTCCTTAAGGCTTAAAGTTTATTACTCTATTGTGTTTGCGGGATAACGGTTATGTTTTATTAATTTGTACTTACTAGAGTATAACTTGTACAAGCATTAAATCCATGTTACATTATGCATTGGAGGCTGAGGATTGCGAATTAGAGATAAGAATTCAACCAGTTCAATAATTTTAATTTTAATCCGTTTCGTTCAAATTATTTGAATTACAATTTTCAATTCCCAATCCTCGATCTCCAATGCGTAGTATGACATAAACTTTAGACTTTAGATCGTAAAACAGGAATATGCGCTTCAAGATATCACGATATCATTCCTCTATGACGCAAACAACGCTTAATTATAGAGTAAACGGAAGGGAATGAACATGTATATGTATATACATACAATAATTATTTAAAATGCTAGGTTCTATTAAATTAAAAAGAAAAATCGATACAATCAAAAAGAAAATAAATTTTTATTTCTATAATACTGCATATTCTTCAATTATCTGTTATTTTTATTCTTTGTATTCTTTAAAATATATATTTATATCATGTTTATTAAAGCTGTTTCAACTGATTTTTTTCAAATACGTATATACATTCTGACATGCATTTCAATTCTCATTGATGCACTTTGTAAACTTTGATCTGTGTTTGTATCTATGTCTACTAATTATGCTATCATGAAAGTAATTATAGAATATATAACATAGTAAAAGATTACATTGATGTAATTAAATATTACATGTAATTAAATATTATATTAATATTAGAGCGCATACGCGCTCTGTGCACACAAAGTCGATGAAGTAAAAAACAGGTTTTATTTATTGTCATATGTTTCACATATTGATTGCACAAAATTATTCAAATATGATCTTTTACCATGTTACAATCACGTGTGAGAAATTAGTGCACAAAATATCACACAGGGTCACAAAGCTTATTATAAAATGCATTATTGAGAAAAACATGAAAGTTTTCGTATCATATCTAAACATTCATGCATTTGATGTATTGCGTTAAGCACAATCTTGAGAATTCGCAATAAATCTTTTATAGGAAAAATAATTCGAATTATCTCGCATATATTTACTTCAAAATCTTATTAAATTGTTTATAATTTATTTGACGACGTAATAATATTAATGCAAAAAGTTGATTAAGGAAATGTGTATTCAATAAATCATGTATCAAATAAAAAACAAAAAACATTTAATTTTGTGAAAAATTTATTGATCTTACATTCAATATATTCGAGGTAGGCAAACACTATTTGATGTGCATAAACAAATTGTAGACGATTACATAAATTCAACATAAATTCAAAAAATTATCATTAAAAGTAAAACAGTTCTATAAAGTTTAATAGTTATGATATTAGCAAACTCTTCAATGGAATTTAGTATTTATCTTTCTTATAATTATTTAGTTTTTATTTTTTATTAAATTAATAATATAGCAAATAAAATGGAATGAAATTAAAAATCTTAATTGTATTATGAACTTGATCATCACACTTTCATCATGTATCTTAATATTTGTATTTGAAATTCATTTTTACTAAATATCGTACTTTTACCTGAGCGACATCATATACGATGTATTCATTGTATAATAACGCCGAAGTGTTATTAGCAAATACTCCCTTTCCATAAGGTACTTCAATACCGTCCTTGGTCTTATAGACATTTTGCGGATCAGGTTGCGTCTGGCCACGACCCAATGTCGAATGTTTTCCTTTTGGTAGCTTCTCAATGTAGTCCGCTTGATATTTCTCGTACATATTACCCAAAGCAACTTCGCAAAGCAGCAACAAACCAGTTGGATTCTGGCTGTGTGTGCAACAATAATTTGCAGACTTCGACACCATATCGGCAAAATATATACCCTTGCCGAACATGTAACCAGTAACGGGCGCTTCTGGCGGTGCGATACGCAAACCTTGAGACAGTATTCCTGCATAATTCGTAGTTCTGGATCCGTGCCAGAGCAACTTTCTATTGGGCAATTTCTTGAAAGGCTTAAACCTCTGTTCTTCTCCTTGTCTCTTAATAATAAATACTTCCTTGATTTCAAGTTCGTACTGCATATGAGTAGCCGCATGAGTATTTTTGACGTACTTCTCGATCATCTTGAACTCTTCACTCGTCTTATCCATCACTTCGATGTCCGTCTTCAATTGCTTATAATGACTATCGAGTGGATTCTCCTTTTCGTTAGTCTTGTCACATAAAAGATTGTACGCGACTTCCATCTCAAGCAATGCATCCAGCATATCGCATTTGATTTTGATATCTTCCAATGATCCAAGAATTTTTGGCCCGGAAACTCCAAAATTGTGTGGTATCAATGTATAGAATCTGTTGGAAGCATCGATCAATGTAGCGCGATTCACGTCATCAGTCATTATTTTTAACGCTTCTTGCAACTCCGTTAAAACGGCATAAGCTTTTTCAATTTGTTTCTTAGACAATTTTCCGAGCGGCATCTTATCCAGGTCTATCTCGCACTCCAGCATAACTTTTTTCATCTCATCTACATCAAAAATAAGACGCATCAGGTCCTGAATTGGTTTCTGCAAATTACTCTTAATATCTGAATTTAGGGAAACAACCTCCTGATCTCCATGATCTATATCAATCGGATACATCAAATTCGGTACTTTGACAAAATGCTCCCTATTCTTCCACTGATTACCCGTCTTCTCCTCATACAATGATTCAAACTGTTCTATACACTCTTCCAAAGACATTCTATCCAATTTGTTACCGCCAATTGTAGTACCAATCCGGCCCCAACTTCTAAACAAGTGATATTTTTCATGCTTGTCATGTTTCAAAAGTTGCAACTTGTAATAACTGTTTTTCTTTGATTGTATGTTCGTTAGACCTAACGTGACGGTGTATTTATCTTTGCCTTTTTGATAAATATGCGCAACATCTTCTAAACCGCTATCGGGATCAACAGCTCCACCGCCTTTCACCTTTACCTTCATTTTACCAGAACCCGACTTCTCAAATTTACTCTTACTCTTAGAAGCAGATTTTGCGATAACATTAGAAAGTCTAGCATTAATATCGCCACCCCAGCTAGAAATAGTTTTCTTTTTTAGCAGCATAATGGGAGAATCTGTGTACTCTTTTGCTTCTTCTATAAAATCTTCCGTTATTACTTGAATGTCGTGTAATTTAACATCTTCCATTCTTTTATTCATTTTATCCACTTCATTTTGATTCGAAATTACAGCAGCCAAATCTTGATGAATTTTTGTTACAACAGTACCACCTAACAATAAAATTTCTTTTTTCAATTCCTCTTTATCTTTCTGTGTACGACCTAATATAACAAATTGCATGTTCTTTAAAGGACGTGGTTTTCCTTGTACTTTCGGTCCATTTGCTTCATCTTCCTCTTTTTTAATAGCACTCGATGAAGATGGCATTGTTATTTTAAATATTCGTTTTCTTATCTTAGATTTGTATGATCTATAAATGAATTATGATTATTAATAAGTAATCTTCATGTCGCAATTATTAATATAGAAAGATAATAAAAAAATTAATATTGAAGTAAAGAAATGCATAGAATTAATTTATTTAAATTCCGTATTGTTTCATAAAAGAACGTACTTAATTGGAAATGTCTCCATATCAATTGGTATTTTGCATAGTTTCCTTTTTGGGTCTTGTGTAACATGCTCGCATTTACTCCATTTTGTTGCATTGCCAGTGCATTTATAACCCATACCAGAATTGTATATGAGCTGTCCATTACATTTTGGACAGGGTTGTAGAGCTCCAAAATATAGTATATCAGTTAAGAGATTTATGATCTATAAGTAAAATCTGATTAGTGATATAATAAACCATTAGTGATATAACTTGCTTAAAAATCATATAATAGATTTATAATTAAAAAATATTTATTAAGTGTATAATTCAAATATATATTGTATAGTACTTACATTTGATGTACCACTTGGAATCTCTTGATCATTTTCTTCTAATAATTCAATCATTTCTTTCTTTCCAAGACGTGATATTTTATCTTTTATAGCATATAGCTCATCATTTTGTTTTTTTATCAACTTTGTTTCCTCTATATCTTCTGGTTCATCCTTAACCTTTTTAGCAGGTGGTGGTATATCGCCTTGATTCATTTTAGGCAATGAAGCTTTGAGATTTGCCTGATCTTCTTTTGAGAGTTGTTTGGCACCCGGAAGCTCATCTCCTCTTCCGTAATATCCCATATTCGCTCTTAGTTTCACAAAACATTCCACGTGAAGCCATCTGTCCAAACCACCAAATTTCCTAGCTTCTTCGCTCTCATAATCTTTCTTTGCTATTCTTGTTTCGCCTTTTATTATCTTTTCTTGGCATCCTATACAAGTGGCTCTGCTAGACTTAGCATATTCCACTCTAAAATCTCCAGAAGCATTACCTTTTGTTCTTTTTCTTCCTTTTGACACAGAAGGTGTATTACGACATTCTTCTACAAGTTAAAATATAACAAATAGCTAAGATGATCAAACAATTTAATTAAAATTATAAGTTTTGCTCATACCAACCAATTTTCTTTCGAATTGCATCTTGATCTTGGTTGCGAATCTGATCGAAACAAGCTATGTCATTAGTGGAACTTGGTCTTTGTTTTGAAAAGAAGCATTTGAAGTGATACCATCTAGGTATCTTTCCATCATGCACAGGACTCTAAAAATATTATGTAAAATTTATTTTGTTAAACACATTGTCTCAGAAGTACAGCTTCAGTCAGAAAATTTCTTAGTATAAAGCACGATTAACTATATTTATTTAATTTGTCTAAAATGAATACAAAGCAATAAAAAATGCATCAATGTTACATTGTAAAAAAAGAAATACATTCGTTTTTAGTTTTTCAAGTAACATAGCAAAAAAATGTTTATATTTTTTATAACCTGAGTCGAATAAGAAAATATTGCAGAGAGAAAACAATTCTACATAAATAATTGAATAATTCAACAAGAATTGTGATAGTAATAGCATGTATGTGACACAATTATCCAAATTGACAACATCAGGTGCTTTATTTATCATTACTCAAGATCGATAGTTCAATGATAATGCACGCATTCGCTTCTTTATGAAATGCTTCCTATTAATTGCGAGGATACTGAGCATAATGAGGCATAATATATTTGCGCGGTTTCTTTGTCGCAACTCGACATACCTGAATAACGACGGCGAGCCGTAGACTCATCTTCATAATTGATTGCTTGCATAATTGACATTTCGAGCGATCGCTTTTCGCGTACTCTACCATATACGGCAAATCGTCATCCATCTCGCCGAATATTTGTTAATATCTGTTACTAGTGTCTCCTCGAAAGGTAGCAAAAACAGAATACCGGGAAACTGCAGGAAACGACGAGACAATGCCGGTTGACATGTGGCGCTGACACCAGTCACGTTCGGCATTTAGGCAACGGTAGATTTCGAACTTAAGGCGCCTCGATACTTTCAGAATCCGGCATTACTCAAGGTTTATAATCAAGCTATACCATATCTATATATTCATGCACTATGATTATTAATTAAAAATACAAAACTTGTGTGTATTTTTCATCAATGAATTTTAATCTTAGCTAAACTGCTATTTGTATCGAATCTCTTTACATTTAATTTTTCAATGTCAACTGGATACAAAGAGTTTCATCAATTAATTCACGCATGAAAGTTTAAAAAATTTTTTATTTTATAATTAATTT